AATGCTCATTAGACAATTCTCATAACACGCATGTAGAAGACAGCTTACTAGTACTTAGTCACCGATAAGGAATTATATATTAGGTAGATGTAGATTGTAGGTTCAGAATGATGTTCAACATGTACGTTGTGAGTTGTTATCCATGATCCTTGCTTATCTTTAGTAGGAGGTCAAGTTTTATGGCAGGTTACAGAGGTAAGATAATGAAGATTACTGATTAGACTGCTGCATGTTTGTTTAGTTCTTGGAACTACACATATTTGTGTACTCTTATCACAGCATACTCTGCCGCACGAGGCATGTTTACATTTTGAAAGTATTCTGTTTTTGAGGCACTGCGGAGTCTGCAGAACAGAACAGAGGTAGCAGATTAGATTATCAATCCTAGGGACAGAACAGGTTTGGTGACATGGGAGGGACATGAGGATACTGTTGCAAATTAATAGATGGGGTTATTTTGTAAGCCTGCTTTTCATGACATAAGTAATATTCTCCAATTATATTCATCCCTGTGTGGAAATACGACAAACTATAGGTCCATATGCGACTATATATGGCTGACAGTGTTGTTTGTGTTGTTTATTGTTGACAGGGCACAGTATGCCAAGGAATGCTCCAGTAATCTTTCTGTGCCCTGTATCAGTTCTGGTTCTTCATCACTGATGTCACAGCAGAAAGCGAAGGACATGTGAAGTAAACAGAGATCAAAAACCACTAGCACAGTCTCCCAAATAAATGGATTATAAGATAGGATAGAGGGAAGGAATCGCTTTGTTGCAAAAATATGTTTGAGAAAAATAGATGTTACCATGCACTTAAAGTAGTTGTCAATGTTCGAAGCAACTTTCTTCTTGTGCCTGTACCATATCCTACATGTTAGTATGGATGATAAGTTTTGGCTTTATGACATCTTCACATCTTATGTCTAGCCTTTTTGTCTGCTCAGTGGAAATGGCAATCCTAATGGTTGATAAAGTGTAGAATGATGTACTTCTTGTAAGTCATCCCAGCCACAGAAGTGAAGTGGAAAGAAATGAACCATGTTGTTCCAGACTTTGAGGAGCCTTGCGCTTGTCTATTAGAGATGCGAGGAGCGTGGCGGCACGTTGCCATTTGCGTCACACGCGGCAGTCTTCATCAGGGAGAAGTCAGGTTTTCATGAGGAGTCTGCGTGTTGCTGATTCTTCACCAATTGAACATCACAGTCCCAGCAGGCCACTCTCATGAAAAAGAAGTGGAAGGAACACAAAAATGATTAGGATGGAAGTGCTCTGTACACTGTGTGCCTTCGAAAAAAGTTGTTTCAGAAAAAAAGGCAATCCACTTTGCAGTTTTAGGTGCTGGCATGCCATCGAGCAGGCATGTATTGCAATTTAATACACTTTTAAAAGTGCCTAGGGCTATCAGCACCAAGAAGGCTTTTTCCCCATGAAGTTGGATCATTCTAAATCCATTTTCACTGGAACATTAAGAGCTGGCTTAGCCAGTTCACATTGACGTCATCCCTTGAAAGTGCTCAGTAATCTTTGACCGCTGCTTGCAGTCTCGCAGTCTCTAGTGCCGTTTCCAAGATCTAGAGCAATGAAAGGGAAATTCTTGGTTCACAAGACAAAACAAAAGTCTTCCCTTATAAATCAAGACACGTTTCTACTGACGTGAAAGTTAAAAGTTAAATTCCTTTCCCCACTATACATGTACAATGTACATTGCAACATGAAGCATTAATCCTGTGTAATCTGTACGACAAAATCAGAAAGGAAGTCATCCAGGAAGGAAATGGAACCTTGATTACTTTAAACACTGAAAAGCTGATATGGAACAGCGATAGATGACATCTTGAACCGTATTATCTACATTCTGTAACCCCCTACCTGTATAAGAATCCCTGCCCCAGTATTGAATGATTCAGCTGGCAGTGGGAGGATTACTGTGGGAGACACCGTGGAGCCACCCTCCATCACCCACCGCTGATAAAGGTGTTGATGAATTCATTTTCCTTCAGCCAAGCAGAAGCTGAGAAGAGTGGGAGGATATTTGAGCATCACCACCTGAGATGGATCCTTGTTTTGTATTCGTGTAATGTTGGATGGGGACATATTACAGCCAGCAGTGCTGTGTGTGAGGGAGCTGCAGGCATCAATTCTCTACACATAAAAGATAGAATGCACCATACTTATCAAGAGCAGAAGGGCTGGCCTACATGTAGTGTGCTTGGTTGAAACAGAGCTTGCACCACATAATTATACTTTCAAAAAATCCTTGTGCTATTCCTCAGTGTGAGGTTGTTGGCTTTGCCGCTTACTTTGCAATGTTACGTTGAATGTGGGATATTTTTTCTGGATAAAGAACGTCTGAGAATGCTGCATTAAGTTTCTTGCTCATTCACCTTAACCTTTTCAGATATACCGTACCTGTAATACCATCTTATGTTAAGTCCATGGTATTTAGATAACTCCACAGTGGAGGTATACCTGAATCTTTGTGACTGTGTGGGTATGCACTTTCTGCGCTCTCTTCAAATCCCAAACAATGTAAATATTTTATGATATTCATTTGAGCAAGTGACGTATGAATGCAAGGTCAAGGATAGGAAAGAAGATCATTGTTAAGAATGAAATGTTGGAACGCTTTTTTTCCAACTGCAGGTGTTAATTAATATGAATTATTGATATTTCACATGTGAATAATTGATCAACCAAAGTCTGACACGAAAGTTGTCCTGCCAGGTCACAGCATGGTTAATAATTCATAGGAGGTTTTGAATTCATTGATCAAATTGAATATAAATATCAAATTTGAAAGCCTCTAATGAATAGCAACAACTGACAGTCAGGAAAAAATGTCCTTTAATGCCCTGGAAACATTGTATAAAACTATAAATGTGATCAGTGTACTACAAAAAACCTGTTCCCCTTTTCAGGTCATCCTTCCTGTATGATGTATCTATCTATTGACCATACACATTGCACTATCGTGATGCCACATGAAGAAATCTATTACTTAGTAGCAGGGAAGCGTGAAATTAGGTCTTACATAGGACAGTACAGGATCATATAGGATGGGAGGGGGGCAAAGATGAGGATAGAGATTATGATGATCACAGCTTTAACTAAGACGTTTGTAGACGTTCACAGCAACACTGAATTGCAATGAGAGAATATCTGCACACCACAGTGAAAAATTAGGTGCAGAGCTTTAGTATTACAGTCATGCACACCCAGTATTTCAAGCCCTGCCATCTCTGCAAGACAGCAGATGTTGGATTGAAGTGAGACAGGTGCAGCCTTGTCTTGATGGTTTATCTGGGGAGTACAAGTCTTCCGTCTTGGCTCCTGTGTTCTCCCGCCCTCTCACAGGGAATCAAAGACCTTGGAAGGTCAGCCGCGTCCTCTGATGCCTCCAGGGAGGCAATAAGCAAGCTGTGGCAAAGACGGATTGACGGACATCAGAGTATAACCACCCTTCGGCGTAACACCCCAGCTTCGCAGGCACGCGACGTGGCAGCAGCTAGCTATATCATACTGAACGACTTGTTACACTCAATCTTTACACAGTTAATTGCAGGAGTTGTTTAAAGCTTTCTAGTACTGAATTCTAGTAATGATGGCCCAACTGTGCTTGATGGCAACGAGTTCCACTCAATGATAGTTCTCAAAAAATACAAACTTTGGAGGGAAGGGAATCTATATATCAGACGAGGGCCCCAGTCATAGCATGACATTATACATGTATATGTCATGTCAAGTAGAATGCAAATGGTGTTTATATTAGTTTTATTCCATTCCATCCAGACTAATGTGTGTTAAAAGCTGAGTATATTTGCTCCCCACTTCAAATGGTGAGAAGAGTACTACATGTACATGAAACCCACATTATATAAATGACTGACCTAGGTCAGCTTGACTCAAGTAGCAAGAACTTCGGTCAATATTCTGCCGATTTTCGGTCACTGATAAAAGATACTGTATGCTACATGTATCTGAAACATCTGACTCAATAGACAATAATTCATTTCAGTTGCTTGATTTATTTTGCATTATGGAAAACTGAAGATTCTCTCATAAAAGATGGATGATGAAAGATTCTCTATACTCTACCCAACCAAGCATTTGTAATAAAAGAGCAATTTCTGCCTTGTAATAATTGAATGGAATAATCAATGCAGAGAAAGACCTGGCCATGACCATTCATCTACCAGTCTTTAATCAATAGAAATCCTCCCACGTAGTATTTGTCTCGGGAGCAGACATACACCTTAGTGCAGATGGTTGGGGGCAATTAGGACCCCACAACCTCTGTTTTTGATTGCTTCTGAACGGTCAGCGAGGTTTAGGAGAAATCTGGGAATACCTCCCTAGCTGGACCAGACACCCACCTAGTCCAAATCAATTTGAAAGGAAGTTTGAATGATGAGAACACCACAGATGTTTCACCATGGGGAGATGTTTTTATGAGCTGCTCAGGCCTTGGTGCTGAAATAATGACTGCTCTGCTGCAATTTGGAATCATATTGTCTTCTCATGATTTCCCTGTCTTTCCTTGGTGTAATATAAACTAGATCTTCACCATGGTGTAATAGAACATCATAAGGATGGACTTTTAATGGAACAGGAAACAGAATCACTAAACTGTGTATTTTTCTGCCCAGTTTTGATGACGTGACAGTCAACAAATCTGTACCTGTATAACCAGTATAACTATCCTTTGGCATAACATACCAGCCTGCAGGCATGAGGCTGATGTTAATAATGTCAATGATGTTTAATCAAATGTTAATGATGTAAATGTTGATGATGTTAATGTTAATGATGTTAGTGTTAATGATGTTAATGTTAATGATGATGTTAATGTTAATGATGTTAATGTTAATGATGTTAATGTTAATGATGTTAATGTTAATGATGTTAATGTTAATGATGTTAATGTTAATGATGTTAATGTTAATGATGTTAATGTTAATGATGTTAATGATGTTAATGAGCTACTGTGTTGTGTTTCAGATTACAACAGAATGTGAAGATGGCAGCAGACCAGGACTACCCAGCATACGGAGTGACAGGACCAAGTGCCAAGTCACAGATGACGGTAAGTTCCCGACACATCTTCAGCCGAAGGAAAATTTATATCGTGTCTCCGATTACAGTTCTGAAAAAAGTAGAGACAGCAGTTTTTGCTGTTGTTGTTTTTTGATGTTTTTTTATGGTGAAAAATAACATAGAAATTGAACACGAAAATTGGGAATTGAACATGTTGGATGCTAGGAAAGCTTTGGTTTTGTATGAAGAAATTTTTAGTAAATTGATATGGAAATGTACAGTATAAACATTGATTAAGCCAGAGTCGAGAAGAAACTTTTGTTTCTATTGTTTAAAAGAAGCATTGTGAAGAGTTTGAATTCCAGGAACCTTGAAACTTACAGCAAGAGTTACTTTGACATCCTGTCAGCTTTCTTTTCCTTTGTTCTCTCCTTACTTAATCCTGTCAGACGTTATTTCTAGTGTGGGTGGGATAGAGCTTACATAACCCCCAGTCAACCCTTGACATTTCCATTTGAAGAAAAGGATCCTTGCAATACAGTCTGCTTTGTTCAATCTAGGTTCTGAGAAACGCTCCGAATCAGTAGGGAGCCAGGATTTGCAATTAGATAGGCTTTTAAAGTGAAAGAGACTTCCAGCATATTTGTTGGCGTGATCTGAGACGACAACATCCATAAGACTCGTGTCCACCCACTCATGGATTTGCCTTCAAGGCTGTGGTCCATGTGTAATCCCTTTCCAACCATCAATAGTCTTTACTCTATAGAGAGGCTTGTGGCCATGGTTTCATTTGGGGGACTTCTGTCAATAGCGACACTGATGCAGAACTGATATGATTCTCTCTTCTAGGACAGGCAGTCTAGTTCAATTTGTACCTGTATCTCAAGTGGTCACCTCTTGATGATAATGGAAAATCCTAGTACAACCTTTACAACATTCCTAACTGTCAGAATCTGTAAAAGATTAGAAACACTTTTTCAAGTGCCAATTTTGCTCCAAAGCAAAGTATCTCTTTAACTGATAGACATGACCTAAAAGGAATTTTTGGAGTGTTATCCTAACTTTCAAATAATCCACAACATGATACATTACCATATATTTAAGACAGCATGACAGAGCACAGTGGCCTAGAGTTTTGTGTCAAGAGGATCGGGTGAGGAGTGCAAGTGCTTCTACAGAAGGACCACTTAAGCCTTGCTCTGGAAAGGGCCGTGGGTCATACAGACATAGATGGATTCCTTAGCCATCGTAGAGGCCTTGAAAAGGGGCTGGCAATTCTCAAAACAATCCTCGGCATATGTGGCCATTCAAAACACACAAGGCATCTGACATAGACACAATACATGTATAAGCTTTTGAAACATGTTATGATATATTCCAGAAATATATAAGTTTGATGACATTAAATCTTGTTTTTTGTCAGAAATTGCAACTGTTTTTCCACCAAGCTTTACTAAACCTTCTGGCTTCAACAGATCATTTACTACTGATCATCTGTTGGCAATAACATGACTTTTTAGTGCCTTCCCATAGGACTGCCTGAATGATATCATAACTGTTTATTGGCACTACCTTGGGAGAAAAAACCTCTAAAGTTTAAGCTGAAATTGTATATGAAAGGGATATGCTACTACCAAAAAGCGGTTAACCTTTGAGCATTCAAATCAGTTTAAAACGCTGATGTATATTCCAGTGTGTGGGTGTGTAATATAGTTAATGGTGCTGGGAGGCTCAGGAGTGTTTGTTCTGGCCTTTATGTACAGTCTCTGTGCAGGCGTGGGAGTAGGGAGAGGGAAGGGCAATCTCACTTGGCTTAATGACTATATAACACAGCCCACTTAAAAATTTGATTTCTTTTCATGGTGACATCATTATGGAGACCCCAAATCATACTTAGAGATATTGTGTGATGCTTGGTGAAAAAATATGCCAGTTTTAGGATAGAATGCTCACTAGTGCTCATTATAAACCACCCAAAATGAAAAATCACATTTCTGTGCATGGTCATGCCAAGGAAGAGATGCATTTTTGTGTCTCTTCATGGATCTAGAAATTAAAGCATTTGAAATTGCAAAGTTGCTAATACTGGTTTAGATATGTAGAAAGTTCAAGAGATTCTTGTCTCATTTTGAGTTGGGAAAGGCAATAAGTAATGAAAATACTGTCAGTGGCACAGGTGGTATTGTGTATTTAGACATAGAAGTTGACAAAACCTTTGTCCAAACACTATTTGTTACAGAAGAATATATGACGCAGCCTCAAAGCAAAGTTAACACAAATATGTTAAAAGACTTCATGTCATCTAAAGCCCTAGTAGCTCCATAACTTTTGTTTGTATTTGTTACCTAGATTGTAAGAACAAAAGATCAGAATTTTGTTCTGAACATTGTCTGTTCAGTACAAAAACGCCACCTAGCGTTGCTGACGAAAATTACAACGTAGAAAGCCTACTCCATCTAAAGTTAGCTGTGACCTGTAAGACTGACTACAGTGGCCAAAATATTTTTTTCTGTGTACCTCCACCACTGCAAGTAACATTCGACATAACCTGCACCAGAGTAATATAAGACTTTAAAACATGAAATATAATATTTGCTTCATGTATACATGTAAACAGAGAAGCATGGTATTGAAAGGTGAACACTGAATGAGTTGTGTGCTTTTCTTGTGTTACAGGCAGGAGACAAGAAGCTGGCTCAGAGTGCCCAGATGTACCACTACCAGCACCAGAAACAGCAGATGCTGGCCATGGAAAAGTAAGTACTACCACTTACTACACAGTAGAACTAGAACTGACAGTAGTGCATAATAGTATTAATGCCATTAGTGGTGTTTCTTTTAACCAATTTTAACATCATTTTTCCCCAAACCGGGGGTTAGACGTGCTCTGCACCAAGTGCAAGTATTCTTTTGAAGCAAGAGTTTTTTTATGGTGAATGTAGCATAGTTCTCTCATATGTTTAATGTAGTTTCAGTACATGCTAGTAGCTTACCATACAACCCTCCACCCTTGCAGGAACCATGGTGACATGAAGCGTAACGACTCTGATGATGAAACAGAAGAGGAGACAGAAGAAGGAGACTACACAGTGTACGAGTGTCCTGGTCTGGCACCAGTAAGTACATCAGATTCTGTTGAATGCTTGCTTCTTTAGTACAAAACATTTCTCAGTCAGTGATGAAAAATCGTGTACGCAACCTGAAACATGGACTTTTCAGAGAATTTATCCATTAATAATTGATTTCTTTTCATACTCAAATTGTTATGTATTACATAATTTCAATCAACGTTTTTGCAACACATCATAGGCATTTCTGGTACCAAAGTTAGATTTACAGTAGAGATACAGTACATGTATGTTCTTCTTATTCTTGTGTCATTGGAATTACTTGTCTAAGTGCAGTAAAAGTCATTGAAGCAATTGTGTCTACATACAATGTACAAAATATTTAATTTTGTTGTGTTTTTTTTCCCAGACGGGAGAGATGGAAGTGAAGAACCCACTGTTTGATCATGACTCCCAGCCACCCCCGGGGTCAGCCAAATGAACTCTGACCTGCGACCTCATGCCAAAGGACAACACAATCATCATATGATGGTTACCTTAAGAAAAAAAGTTAAGGCTTAGTTTGTTAAACTTTTTGGTCAGTATGTCCATGTTCACAGGTACAAAATAAAACAATCTTTCAGACTTTTCCCCCATATTCCCATACATTATTGAAAGCCTGTTAGTCTAATGTTGCACAAAAGTGATGACCACTTCTGTCACATAAACTTAAAGACCTAAAGTTCATGATAAATTTATCACCTAACCACTCCATTCTTGAGAAAGATAGTACCTGTAGTAACTGATGATTCGTCTTTCGACCTGTGCTTTATAGCATGGAGCGTCGTTGTCTTGAAGAAATAAAGTCCCTTTTCCATTGCACAGGATGGTAGGTAATTCCCCACATCTGGTGGTATTTAGATTGTTGTTTGCTCATTTTTGTGCACAGATAATGAATGTTTTCTTGTCAGCTGGCTTCAGGTAGATAAATTACGTAAAATATTCAACCTTTTCTCAAAAAGATAAAAATTACGTGATTGAAACTACTTGGTTCCAACAATCTACCAACACTACTGGACATAAAGAGTGCTGATCATATATATGAAAAATAATATACATTTCCACTAGAAAATCATTGTCATGTATAGATTGAGTCAAATCATTGGAGGATTTGAGTGGAGAGAGCTTCGAATTGTTCTATTTTCTGAACTTGATCTTGTAGCCATGCAGCCATTTCTGATGGTGCTGTGAACATGTAGATAGCACACTGTGGAAACACTTCTCAGATATAGTACTATATAATTATTATAATTGTGTTAATGAGGGTAATGTATCATTCATAAGAAAGGAAAATGCTTATGGAAAATATTGAGGTCTTGGTTAGTTTAAGGAAAAAATTATATGGAGTGGAAACATGTGAGGATTGCTTTTGAGTTTGAGTAAGCAGACTGAAGTAAAAAAGCAAGATTTTGAAGCTGGCACAGAAAGGGATGAAACAAGATGAAAGATGTAATAGATGTCATAAACTTTATATCATTGTCTCACCGACACATTGTGAGGTACATAGCTTGTGTGGTACTGAGCTTCATCTTTACGTTGACCTCACTAAATATGAACACTAACTGACACAGGCTGCCATGTACCACTGGTATTCTAGCAGGTCTGTTGTGACAATATTTTCCAAACAAACATAATTCTTAACATTTATCCAGTTGAAGAGAATTATTAAAAGACTTGTCCGATAAAAGCTTTCTGTATTGTGTAATTGTCAACTGCCTAATGTCTTCTCTCGAATTCATGCCTCATAATTGTATTGATATAATAACATATTAAACTATTGTGAATCAGAGTTATCTTTAGGTAGTGTTTTCTGGTGCTATCCCATGATTGCAAAATACAAGGAGAAAAGTGGCCAATTTGAAACACTTCATCATGGGATGGCACAAGAAATTGAATTAAATATTATTATCACAGAGAGTAAAGAAATATACAAGGCACAAGTAGAGATGTTGATATATTTTTGTGCCTATGTTTTAACTTTATTTCAGTGTATATAGTGAAAATATTTTAAGTAATTGTGACCACTATCTCATTCTACAGTTCGATTTTCTCTTGATTTGTGATGTAAATGTATAGAAACAGACTTGCCTTTATACTGGAAAAAGCAGCATGGAAAATCAATTGATGAGCTTTGGTTCAGAAATTGTGCTAGAGTTACGTGTATGATTCTGGTTTGGTTTAAAATGATAATTGGTTTTGAATATTGGAAAGTACATAATCATAAAATCTAACTTTGTGATTGTTTTTGTTGTTCAACATTGAATAAAATTCAGGAGATCTCGTGTCATTGAAGTAAATGTGTTGTACATGTCACCAGAATGCCAGTAAAATTTGAAATTTGTTTTCTTTTTTTCCTGATTTGATGGAAAATTTATCGCGTTGGCATAAATGGGATTCTGGTGACATACTACTGAAAACTACTTGTGAGAAATAATTGCGTGAAAGTCTGTGATTGCTTTCTTCCAGAATAAAAATGTAGAGTTGATTAAACCCTGCTTCTTGTCTACATTCTTTGTCCTCCAAAGTCGTACAATAATACCAAGTAGGTTGACCTTAACATATCAAAGAAATTATTACATTCTGGACCCCGTGTGGCTTTCAATAGTATTGCAGCAGGGCATTTGGTTTTGATATATTTCAATACGTCACCTCTCCAGGTACAAACACACCAACACGCAATCTACAAGTTACGGCTAACAACTGCACGGATCAAAAGCGGCATCTAGCTGCTCAACAAAGAACTGAACCATAATGTTTGGTGAGCGGCTCCATTACTGCAGTGTTTTTTTCGGCCGCTACGGGGCGGTTTTGATCCATTGCGATTTAAAAACAAATTCCTCGAAACTAACACTAAATTGAGAATTAATCGCAATAACAATGAAAAGGTTTCAGAGGAAAGTAAAAATAAAAATAAAAGAGGAAATTTGAGCGAGGAAATACGTGTCAGAAATATAGTATGATTTCTTTCTGTGTGGATCAGAAGAGAAGGCTAGTGAATTCATTATTCTCCTTGTCATTTTTCTATCCAATAAACCATCAAGATGGATATAGGCCAAGTAAATCATTTCAAATACAGCCTTGATTCCTATAATTTTCTCCAGTACTGATAGAAGACTACTATCACTTTTGATGGCATGTCCCCAAATATTCCGATGTGTGTAATACAAGGCTGTTATTTGCACAAAGACACAGATAACGTGGTACAGTGAAATTCCATTGCCGGGACTGGGTAAGAAAATTGCGGCTAATGTAAATTTCTCAAATGGCTCAGGGAATAAAGAGTGAGATAAAGGCCCTTTGACGTGGGCATGGATCGACTCATATGTATTAAGGTCAGAAGAGATTTAGTTACCGCAATAAAAGGTACTGTAATGTGGCACCATGCGGAACGTTACCACGAAAATTCGATCATACAAGGCAGTCTGTATGGTCGAAAACTGGCACATGAAATTCCCTACATAGCTTTCCATTTGCTAATCTCACCTCGACGTTCGTCATTGATGTTTTCACGAATGGAAACCTCATTTGCAAGGATTTGTTATGGTGACGGATGATATTAAAGCGCTTACTGAAATCAGATTAATATGACACCTTTTGATGATACTGATATCGTCTTTGAGGAGACGGTTGGCAAGGGTGTTTGTGTCAACCAACAGCAGCACGAATGAGGTCAGTCCTCGGGACAGGAACGTTCTTATTGTGCAACAGAGGAGACTACAAGCTCTCCTGAAATACCCTCAGTTTTCAAATTACCATATCTGAGGGCTGCTCTCAACACCGGGAGGACAGGGAATTGTACTGAGCTTCAATTGCAAGCAGACGTGCCCTCCCGACAAAGGTACATTCTTCTTTGTCAATGCAAGGACCTGTGACAGTAGCTAATAAGTTTTTGTTATGACAACATAATTAGACCAATAGTATGCACAGGCCAGTTTTGCACACATGTTTTCTATGTGTTGACCCCCCTCCCAAGAAAGTGCACTAAGTGTTACTTCGTATAGTGATTTTGATCTGAGAAATAATGTACACTGTCAGGTAGATAGTCTAGAGTGAGACAAACGTTTTTGAATTTAATTTAGAGGTGGAAATTGGAAATGGGCACATTTAGTGTGCGAAACACAACATGAATGTGACACATGGCCTGCCGAACACTACCGAACTCCCGTACATTGTGGAACTCCCCAGACATGGTCAGGAGTAGGTCGGGAGTAAGGTGTTCGGCGAGGCCGGCTACTCTTCGGCTGCGCCACCCGAATGTTTCAAAACGTTAAAAACATCTGGGTTTGTCTGGGGGCGGGGGGGGGGGGTTAGGACATGGTTGGCTGGTGTTTGGGGGTAGGTCAGCATTGGTAGGGGCGTGATTCGGAGTCAAATTTGAATCAAATTTATCCTTTATTACTTGAGTAAATTCAATAGAGGGCCTACTGTTAGAAACAATTGATAAAACTTAAAATCTTAGTTCATAATTCAAATTACTACTCTCAGTCGTAATATGATTTTTTTAAAATTTCAATGTTTCATGTTTGTCTATGAATTTAGTGCGATTTGTTGAGGGCCGCTAGAGGTCGCGATACAGCTATGATGTTACATGTGTATGCTTTAGTTTTGGTGCGTTTGTTTGTTTGTTTGTTTGTTTGTTTGTTTGTTTGTTTGTTGCCTCGTTGATCATAGCACAAAACGTATGAATGCGTTTATATGTGGCTGGCAGGTCAACGAAGGAAGACGTGATTACTTACTCATTGATTCTCTTCTAAGGTAGTCTAATTTGCTATTGATGACGACATGAGGAACGGGACTTTGCCCAATAGAGATGCCTGTTTGAATTCATGCCTGCTTGTGTACATCCGGCCTAAAGCAGGAGTTTATTTACACGGGAACTATACCCTCAGGCTAGGTCAGAAGCTCAGTTCAGAAACATTTGGAAATCTAACAACCATTTGTGTGTGCATATTGCGCTGGTTAGAAGTCAGATTTAGTACTTCTCTGGTGCATTTTCATCGTCGTTGTCTTCGATTTTCTATCACCACTGGGGGAGACGAGATCAAATTAATCACGACATGTTCAAGTGCACTCTTACATAAGTGCACCGTCTCTCTAACGAGGCCACTGCCCCCATGCTCTCGTCAGGTGGAGACAGTTCTGTTATATCTTGATTGGTCCGAACCGTTTCTAAGCAATCTATGTTGGAAAATTGCCATCGATAAATTATACAATGTTATGTCGCAATGAAAGTTGTACGTGCCAGGCTGACAGGGAGTTGCAGTATTCGTTTTTATGTCTGCTTGTTAAGCGCGCTGATTCTGCTGACTCCAGGTGAGATAGTGTCACAGATTGTGTCGTTATCATCCCGTACAGACTATAAAACGCACCTGTTAAGGTTTTCTAAGGCCAACGCGACGTAGGGGAAGGGAGGGCACACAACAGCCACTCGTCCTGTTTCACTGGCGCTCATTTTACACTTATTTGCTGACATATGTTCTGTTTCAAGTTAAAACGTTTGTTCCAACATACGGGATTGTTCTCGTGCACCTAGAGCTTTTGACTCTCATTAAAAGAGAGCTTCACAGAAACCACGTGACAAGTCTCACTGGATAAGTCTATATTGAGGAAGGCCAGAGTGGCTGGTCGAGGGCGCTAGTTGAGAACAATCTCTTGTGTTGGAACGAAAATTAGCTTTAGATATGTAACTACCAGCACATATGAACTTCCATGACGATATATTCTGTTGTACACCTTTGAATGTCGTCATCGCGTTAGTACATGATGATTATATAAATTAATGTGGCAGTACTGCAAAGCAACAAGTTAAGATTAACCTAAAAACCGAAAACACAATTTATTTTATGGCAGAGGGAAGGCTGCAGCCGTGGTGGGATTGTCTATGACAAATCTCAGTCAGCCATGGAGAGGACCTTATCAAAACTAATTATCGAGGAGACCACTTCATTCACTTTGGGACACAGCAGACCATGACAAGGAGCCAACATTGTGCGTACAAATCAGAATGAATACAATTAAACTTGAACATTATATCCTCAAGAGAAGGGTTTTAGGAGACGTCAAGCCTAAACAGACGACGTTGATGCATGGGTTCAGGGTTTCCTCAGCGCCTTGGAGTCAGCAGGAGCCACGAGGTATTCATTTACTTTATCGCAACGACGTAACTCGGCCGACCTTTCTTACGTTATGACAAGCGGCCTGATGAAAATCAGCTTCTGCGTCTAGACAGCGGGCGGCGCTGCTTAACTTAACTTCGCGCCTAAATCCCACCAAGATTGGCCGCAGGCAACATGTCATCAAACATTGCAACAGGATTGTTCATATTGGTTCAAACGGAGTTCAACGTGACTATAGAAAGTTGAAGAGCTTTATGATGAAAGTTTTCAGCAAGCGAAAAGCCCATTTTGGTATGACTTTACACTCCACCTCTGTACACAACAAGTACCGTAGTGTCATCTATAGCTAGCACCGCGGTTCAAATTAGATCAATACAACAAAGGAGACTTTTTCCCTAATGGAAAGAAGTTTAACGGATGTCAGAAAAGCTTTTAACGGCTTTAAATAGCTTTAGGCTAGATACAATTCACCACGGCTCCTGGGTGAGAGTGAGTTGTTGCGCTATCCATTACAAGACAAATGCGGTAGAGACTTTCGAAGTTCAGGGAGCCATTCAAGTTCACGGGACCAGCATGTTTAACTTGCTGAATTGGAGAATGGAACTTCAGAGGGATTCCAGATTGTATCGTTTGGGACCTGTAGCTTGAGAGTACAGGTCTTTCATCTGTTGGTCCAGTCTTTCCCTTTGACCACTTTCCTTAGCCTCTACCAGGCTTCGGAAAGAGTTCGGCTTCGGCTGGAAAGAGTAGAAATCGGCCAAATAGAGATATATATAGCATGCCAGGGGAGTTGGTCTGCTGCACCCGGTGCGGCAAACTGTTCTCTCCAGCAGACCAACTCCCCTGGCATGTATGTTATCTCTCAATTTGGCCGATTTTTACTCTTTCCAGCCACCTCCGAAGCCTTGTAGAGACTACACTTTCCTATCGATGGGCAACCGTTGACTAAAATTGGATTCGTGGGACCGTTGTTTTTATTATTAAAGCAGATAAAACACAAAGGTTTAGAGAAAATCATCCTTTATAAATGAAATTCGTTAACCCTACCTAGACCGGGGGGGGGGGCTAAAAGTGCCCGCGCCAACTTTGATGTCACCTAGCGTCTGAACGGCTACCTCTAGAACGGCCAAACTTGGTGACTTTTCCTAAAATATTGTTGGCAACAACTCTCTATAATTGGAATAAGATAATTAAATATTATTATTAACTAGAATTCCGAGATCTCATACCTCCATGAAATATGATCTTGATATGTAAATGTAAATTTCTTTTTTAATTGTACAAATGACATGTGCATTAACATGATATATGCATCGTGATGTATGTTAACTTTTGATTAACTTACAGATGTCCCAAGTATGACATTCTCATCATTCACCATTATGAAATCATAGAATTTTCGCATTAATTATGCAAAGTAGGTCATCATTTGCATAATTAGTATCTGTTGAAGTTCCGCCTGCCATAGGTTACAGACATTACATGTATGTAAGTAGTATAATGTAAAACACTGTAATTATAGAATTTCCTCATTAATTATGCAAATAAAGTCTTCATTTGCATAATTTGCATTTAATTATGTACATCTCTCTCTCAGCTACCTACACACCAAAAATAATGAAAATATGTTGTTCCTGTCTGGACTTATTGGCTTTTAAACATTTCGCCAGAAAGTGCCCTGCAGTTCCAGAACAAGCCGCTAGGGGGCCCAAACTCATATGACTTCTTCCCAAGCACGAGAGCTACCTTCCATCAAAATTTCATGACCCTAGCATGTCCAGATCGCGAGATATCAAAACCGGAAGTTGCGCTGCAGTACCAAGGGAAGCCACTAGGGGGACCAAAATCTAATCATTTCTAGTTTTCGTCACACCCTACCAACACACCAAGTATGAAACCAATCCATTCAGGCGTTCTTGAGTTATCTTGTTGACCAACAGACGGACGGACAGACGGACAGACGGACGGACAGATAAACGCAACTGAAAATATAACCTCCATGACACATTTCATGGAGGTAAATATCATTATCATATCATATCATATCTTAAATATGCATAATTTATGCTAATTTGATGACGACATTGGCCAAAATCCAAGATGGCGGACCATGTCATTAGAACAGGTATATACGGGTTATTTTCATTAAAATTTCATCACTACTTCCATTTCTTTTTCCAAGAAAAGTTTAAATGAAGGTCTTTAGTATGTTTAAAATGTATTTTAGGCTTTATCATGGAAAAAAACTATTTTTGAAAATTCAAGATTGATGATCCAAGATGGCGGATATCTTAAATATGCATGACGTCATTTTATGACGTCACCGGTGTTGCTATGGGCAACATAAGACTTAGTACACCTAATATTCTGTCATAAACACTTTTGGTACAGTTATCTTGAATACCATTTAGTTTTCAGGGAAAAACCTATCTAGACGGTTTTGGCCAATAAAATCACATTAATGACGTCATATTACGTCATAATGACATTAGTACATATGTACAATTGTACATATGATAAATTATCACTAGTACACCATCCTCTGAAAATTTGGTGGTCATATGACATACCGATCGCGAGTTCTGAGGGGGTCAAAAGAGCCCCCCCCCCCGCCGCNCCNCACAAC